ATACGCATGACCCATGGACATGAACAATGGTGATGGGATTGCCTGAGGGAGTGGGGGATTGCTGGGTGGAGGGGGGCAAATGAGGAAAAACTGGGACAAATATAATAGCATAGTCAATAAAATATAATTTAAAAAGTAGTTCTGGCTAATAATCTACAACAGGAAAAAGTTCACAAGAATTTTGCCTTTTTGCCTTTAATTTTCTCATTTGTTTGTTTTGTTGATTAGGTTCCACTTATAGGTGAGATCATATGGTATTTGTCTTTCACCACCTAGCTTATTTCATTTAGCACAATGCTCTCCAATTCCATCCATGCTGTTGTGAAGGGTAGGAGCTCCTTTCTTTCTGCTATGTAGTATTCCTTTGGGTAAATGTGCCACAGTTTGATCCACTCATTTCCTGATGGGCACTTAGGCTGTCTCCAGCACTTGGCTATTGTAAATAACATTGCTATGAACTTGGGGGTGCATATAGGTTCTTTTGAATTGGTGATTCAGGATTCTGAGGGTATAGTCCCAGTAGTGAGATTGCTGAATCAAAAAGCATTTCCATCTTTAGCTTTTTTGAGGAAATTCCATACTGTTTTCCACAGTGGCTGCACCAGTCTGCCTTCCCACCAACAGTGCACTAGGGTTCCCTTTTCTCCACAACTGCACCAGCACTTGTTTGTTGATTTATTAATGATAGCCCTTCTGACTGGTATGAAGTGGTATCTCATTGTTGTTTTAATTTGCATCTTTCTAATGGCTAGTGATGTTGAGCATTTTTTCATGTGTCTATGGGCCCTCTGTTTAATGACTAAATAGTTAGTTGCTTCCAAGAGTTGCAAGTAAACCTTGAAATATGACTTCTTCCTGAAGGAGAGGCCATGTGCAGAAATTTTCAGAATATCCCATACTTCTTACAGCATTGTTTTATTTCATCTCAATCAAAGCTGCTTAAACAACCGTACGTTACTTACTGGCTTTTATTTCATTTGGTGATTTCCCTTGATAATACAAAATCAACAGAGTTTTTTAACTATTCCTCTAAATGTCTGAGTTCGAACTATCAAGTCAGACATAGAAAAACAAAAACTGTATCATCTCATTTTTATGTGGAGTCTAAAAACCAGCTAAACAGCCAATCAACCAACTACTGTCCCCCACCTCATAGATACAGAGAACAAATTGGTGGTTGCCAGAGGTGGGAAATGGGGAAAGGGGGGTCAAAAGATACAAACTGCCAGTTATAAAATAAGTAAGTAATGGGGATGTAATGTAAAACATGGTGACTATAGTTAATAATGCTGCATTGTATACCTGAAAGTCGCTAAGAGGGTAAGTCATAATAATTTCATCGCAAGAAAAAAAATGACTGATGATGGATATTAACTAGACTTATTATGGTGATCATTTCACTATATATGAATATCACATCATTATGTTGTATACCTGAAACTATTATAATGTTATATGTAAATTATATTTCAATGAAAAATAAAAAATACTATTTCAAAAATAAAGAAAGTAGACATGTTTTATTGAAGGGTATAAAGACTATATGGAGTCTCACCAATTATTTTCAAATACCTGAAGGATTGCCTTCTCACATGGACAAGGTAATAATAATTACTAATGTTTTAATTGAGTATTTACTATGTTTTAGGCACATAGCTCATTTTATCATTCTAACACTCCTGTTAAGGATAAGTACCATTTTACCTATATTATAAATGAAAAACCTGAAGGCTCAACAGGTCATGTAACCAGCCAATGGCCCAAATCTTCCAGACTCTGAAGCCAATGTTCTCAACTGCTATGTTTACCATATGTTGTTTTACTAAACCAGACAAGAACCAATGGTTGAAGCTACCAAGAGGCAAAATTTGACTTGGCATAAGGATGATTTTTCCAATGAAAGTTTAACTTTTTGTTGTCTAATCATGGCATTAACTACTTCTGGAATTAGGAGCTTCCATTCATAGATGTACTTAATGAAAAGTCAGTTATATAGCAAGTTACTAATATTAGAAAAGAATTATTATTAAAGATAAAAAGGGACATTTCATAATGATAAAAAATCAATTCGACAGGAAGAGATAACAATCCTAAGTGTATGTACATCTAACAACACAGCTTCAAAATATATAAAACAAAAGTTGACAGGCCTAAATAAGAGAAATAAACAAAGCCACAATCATTTTGAAGACTTCAACTCATCTCTATTATAATTGAACAAACAAAAAAAAGACAATACAAAAGTTGAACAACACAGCTGTATTGACCTATTCGACATACATAAAACTTATACCCAACCACTACAGAATATACATTATTTCCAAGTGCATGTGAAACAACTATCAAGGTATTTATCTAGCAAAGTGCTAAAGATCTTTCTCATTGAGCAGGAAGTTGGGCTAGTTTAATTTTAAAACCACTCCCACCTCTGAAATTCTAAAATTTACTCATCTCTTCCTAAGAATATTACCCTCAATCTAGCTTCCCTATTGTGTGTTGCTAATAATGATTCCATTTCAGCCACTTCCCAAATACAAAAGAAGATGTGGAGATAGCTTTAGGTTGTATAAATGTAGGTGTGGTCTCCTGTCCCTACCCCAAACCTTGTTTATTCTTTTAGTTGAACATCTCTCCCACCTGCTTTCTCATTTATATATCCCCAAGTTCAAGCCTTAGCCCAGCTCCTGGTTCCTGACCCTCCTATCTCTGAAATCACCTTTCAACTTGGCCACAAGATTAGCTTATCCCAAGGTACCCTGCGGGACCAGACCAGAGCTTCACCCACAAAACGCAACTCCTACGAATCCATTTATTCTCCTCCATCCCCCTCAAAGTCTGCACAGCTTCAGAAATAACCTACAATATAATAGAATAAAATGATTATTGTTCCAAGGGGGACAATAACAAATAACAAATAACAAAAAATAAGAGAAAATCACTCAGAATGCATGACTGAGATACTGTTCATACTATTGCTAGAGATAGACAAAATTTGGCTCCAAGGAGACTGGTGAGTCTGGCCAGTTCAAGTCCTTCAGTAGGCTGGTTCAGAACCTGATCCTCCTCATGTACTAGTTCAGGGCACTCCCAGTCCAGGAAAACATACCCTTCTTCTATATTGTTCTATTACCAGAATTGCAGTTTTACATAGAGAATCATCCCCTGTTGATGATTCCAATGTAGAATTCAGAATGTTGTAGCAGTGAAGGGGATGAGTTCAAGTCCGCCTCCCCATCCACCCCAGTTCAGCTGTTTTTTATTTACAAAATAAGAATATGAACTTTACCTACCTCATAGGGCCCTTGTGTAGTTTAAATGACCTAATGTATGTTAACAGGAGGGAGTCAGGTTTTAGAACCAGTCACCCCTGCTCCTCTCCAAGTTCTAGACTAAGTAAACTATATATGCACAAGAATCAATACCAAATAGAAAATGAACTCCATTTTTTAAATTAATAACAGAATGAACACAAGATTTTACCCTTTCCCTGCTCCCAATTTTGAAGCTTCTCTGGTAATTACACTGGAGAACAAGACTTAGAATAGGGGCCTCTTATTTATTGTTCCTTCATCGTGACTTAGGAGTCCAGGTTTGCAGATCAGGCCCTGAGGTCACTCCATCCATCCAGCCTCACAGATAAGATCTGCCCCACCTACCCATTCACCAGCAGGAGCTGGAAACTGTGAGCTGGGAAGATGTCAAGAGCTTTTTGAGGCAGGCAGGCAGCCCAGCAGGCTCAGCTAAGTCTGCTTTGCCATACGGAGACAAGAACTTCAACAGAGGGCCACAGGTTTTTGACACCATTTGAAGGTGCAGTCACCTTGCTCTCCAGTGACTCACGCATGACCCAGTGAGTGTCTTTGGCTATAACTAGTCAAATTAGAAACTCATAATATAGGGACACACAGGGGAGGTGCTTAATGGGCAGAAACTGGAGAGGAGCATGAACATTCCTCCTCCACAGTATGTAAAAGCACAGGGTATGAAGCTTAGAACCCAGAAAACAGTAAGTCATACATATTTTTCCCCCTACATGGCTTTTTATCACTATTTTAATGTAAATTTGCTTCTCAAAGTTTATGCCCATTTATACTCCCAACAATTTAAGGAAAAAAAAGTTTCATCACACAGGTCATTTATCTATCTTTACTGCAAAGGTCGTATTGAAATTCTGTTTCTTGGGGAAATATTTTCTGCTTAATAAAAGGTAGTGATCATTCCCTCTCCCCTTCTCCAAAAATCAACAGGTTACTTTCCACACTCTCTGGTATCTGCATATCTTAATACTCATTTATTTTTAGCTGTCATCTAAGATAACTGGACAATTTGTCTTTGTGTCCTTGTTCTCATGTCACCTGAGTCTATTTTAGATCTGTTTTCTAGAAGGCAGGCAGGGAGCCATACTGGATTCACTCACTCAGCATATACTGCACAAAACTCTGTGTGTGTGTGTGTGTGTGTGTGTGTGTGTGTGTGTTAGAGAGACATAAATAACAAATACACCCAATTTTTGACTATTTATACACAAAATCTTGGCCTTTATTTTTTCTCTTCCTAATCTGAAAGAGAACAGAAGCAAGGGGGAAGTGGAAAGAAAATTTCCTCCTGAAGATATAAGGAAAGAAACTCTAAAGTGAGATATGGCGTTAGCTAGTAATTGTATTTATGAATCCTCTTTCTTTAGTTTTTAATTGTGAGATAATGTGCAGTAACATAGGAGTCCACAGAAAGTGGTAGAATAAAGTACTGTTGAGATTTAAAACCAAATTTCTGTTGTGCAAATATAGGCTCCACTAGTTTACTAGCCCTATGATCCTCAGTTACCTCCAGCAAAAACTAGGAATATCAGCAATGCCATTTTTGTTGTAAGAATTAAGTAATTCAATGTCTGTAGAATAGCATAACATCTGAGCCAAAAGAAATGTTTTTAAAAATTAAATTACAGAGCTCTACAGGAATCAGAAAAAAAAGACATTTATTTTTCTTCTTCTATTTTCCAGCTTCCTACAAGAAAATAAACACTCATACTGTTTCGGTCCCAGGGACAGATGAGATAGAGCTCACCTGCCAAGCTAAAGGTTATCCCCTGGCAGAAGTATCCTGGTCAAATGTCAATTTTTCTGCCAACACAAGCCACACGGAGACTTCTGATGGCCTCTACCAGGTCACCAGTGTTCTGCGCCTAAAGTCACCCGCTAGCAGAAACTTCAGCTGTGAGTTCTGGAACGCTAACGTGAAGGAGCTTACGTCAGCCATCATTGCCCTTCGAGGTAAGAGCTGCCAGCCCTTCCTAACTCTATCGGTCAGGGTCCAGGTGAGAAATAGAGGACACATTCAGAATAAGTAATTTGAAGAGCATGTAATGAAGGGACTATTTATGAATTTTGTGGTCAGGATTTAGAGAAACTACTGAGGTTCGTGACAGACCCTGGGACTTCTACCATGGGGAGCCATTATCACTGTTGGAGAGGTGACTGAAACCTAGAGAAAGGAGCTAGGAGAAAGCACTGCTTGACAGGAACTGTGGCCTGCAGTAGAAGGGTGCTGCTGCCCACAGCAACTCCAGAGGGTGGGAGCTGGTGTATGAATACCTCAACCTCACTCACCTCCCACCCTCTGATCCCCTCCTGGTGCCCGCCATTGGCTGGACCCAGCTGGGGGTCAGAGAACAAGGAAGTCCCCTGGTAAGTCCATAAAGATCAACCCCTCAGAGCTCAGAACAGAGTGTTGAACTATAGATAATGGATCAGAACAGGAAACAAAATATTCAGCACAAAAGCTTATCACTGTGACTCAGGCACAATGACTTAAGTCAGCAGGATGAATATCATTTGTTGGCTTTGCCGCCAGCTACATGGTTTGGGAGTTTTACAGGAAAACCAGCCTCTTCAAAATATCCTGCAGAGTTTTCACTGGCTATGCTGAATCCATACTTTTGAACTTTGTACACTAGCAAAATGTCAGATTTTGGAAGTCTGACCATTTTTTTATGTACCAAGTAAGAACATTTATTTGCCAAACAAGAACAACTAACTTCTAGTATCACAATCATCTCATTTTAACACCAAGTACATATGTCTCCTATTGCTCCTGTAAAAAAATTACTGCAAACTTTGTGGGCTTAGGATGGCACAAATCTATTAATTCACACTTCTGGGAGTCAGAAGTCTGAAAAGGGCTTCACCAGGTTCAAACCAAAGTGTCAAGAGGATGGACAGCAGAAACTCTAAGGGAGAATTCATTTTCTTGGTTTTTCCACCCTTTAGTGGCCCCTGGCACCCCTTGGCTCATGGACCCTCCCTCCGCTTTCAAAGCCAGCAGATGCATTATGCAGACCTCTGCTTCTGCCATCACATCTCCTCCTCTAACTTCTTGCCTCCCTTTTCTACCTCTTGGGGACCTTTGTGTCTACAGCAGATGCTGGCCTCCTACCTCAACTCAATAATTCAGGATACTTTACCCATTTCAAGTTACTTAATATAATCACAGCTCCAAAGTCCTTTCGTGATATAGGGTAACATAGTCACAGGTCTCAGGGATTAGAACATGGACACCATTGAGGGGAGCCATTATTCTATCATACAGACAAAGAATATCATCTCAGGATAAAGAACAGTCCCTCATGCTGAATAGTTTGACTTTATAAAACGTTCACTATGCTCTTATATTTTTCTTTGTCTTAGACAAAACAGAGACTATGAGAAGGACTTGTTGGCATGCAAGTATTTAGCTAGTGATTCCAAGGAGTAGAAATGAGATGTTTGGGGGGAAAAAGGAAAAGCAAATGTAAGGCTACATTATTAAAGTTGATGTGGGCATCAGGAGCTCAAATGTTCAAGGACTCCCTAGTTAAGTGTAGGCCAACACTTTAGGTGAAATGCAGTTTTCTAGAAGGACACTATATAAGAATTTCCCCAAAGAAATACAGGCCTGGGTAAGATGAATTTGGAAGTGACTAGAATCTGCCCTTTACACCACTGATTACATCAGTGTCTTTCTTCGTGGTAGAGAAGTGGAAGGGCAGACTGATCATTTCTCTGGAAGCCTTCAAGCTATGAGAAGTTAAAAATGAACTAAAGTGACCCCTCTCTGCCTGGGAGCCAACATAGCTGACTGAATAGTCAACAGTTGTGGGAAGGGCCTATAGGCTCAGCATCGAAGCTTGTGATATGGCTCATGAATGCAACCAGCAGGGAGATGGAGAAATCTTTGTGCAATTCAAGTGCTCAGCCTAGTTTTACCCGTCCTTCCCAGCTCTACATTTACCCTACTACCCCCTGACATGGACCCTCTGCTGCAGTCAGCTCCCCTTCCTCACCACATACCCTTTGAACTTGCTTGACCCTCTCCCACCTCCATGACTTCATTGCTCAGGTACTTTCTGCCACATAAAATGTCATTATTCACCTGCTCAAGCCCAGCCTCTCCTGGGGGCACCTCAGATAACTGTAGGATACAAGCAGACTTCACTCATCTCGCCACCTAAGACCGATTGTACCACTTCTTTGTTTGCCTGTGACTGTACATATCTCTTCTCTTTCATTGCTATTTTATTTTCCTGGTATTTTAATTGTTCACATGAGTCTTCTTTATACTCAGACTTAAGCAAAAGCAGGGTGCTCTGTTCATAATAAGTGCTCAGTAATTGTCAGATTAAGGGGTTGAAAACTTAGTCTTAGATGATCCCAGACTCATTACCCCAGCGGCCAGGTGTGTGTGGACAGTCAGGTCCAAGAAGCCAAATGATGCCATAGCTTATGGTACAAGTACCACAAAATACAACAAAATAACCAAAAGTCATACATCCTCCCACACATGGGTTCCTAGCTTCTATTTCTCAAAAGCATCGTGAGCTGTCCTATGACTATTCCCTTTGTATTGTTTCTTATAAGTTGAGCAGCTCACTGCTGATTTCTCTGACCCACCACAAGCTTCTTTGGAAGTCAATGAATCAAACAAATACAGTAATGAAATTCTGGGGGTGGGAGGTGCTCCCAGAACTCTAGGATAATGACTGAACATCCTAACTTTCAACCAGGAATTAAGGAGCAGTGAGACAGTTTTCCTTTTGAATCAGAGTTTCTTCTGCTCTGTCAGGTGTTGCATTTTCATTAGGAAATATAGTGGGACTAGAGCACAGACCCTTACACGGCTGCCAGAGAAGCCCTCCCAGGAGGCCCGGCAGTGACTCTGGCAGTGCTCAAGCATCTGCGCTCTGAAGTCAGATGGACTTTTATTTCAAATCCCCTCTGCTACCTACAAACTTTAAGAACTTGAGCCAACCTAGAAGTGTCTCCTCTCTCTCATTTGTAGAACGAGTGTAAATAATGGTAGCTACCTTATAGCACTATGGTGAAGATTAAATGAAATACACTTATAAAGTCCTTAGCATTCAGAAAGGATAGAAACAGGAAAAAAATATGGCACCTTTAGCAAGAGACATGGCTTCCTTGTGAGTGGATAGGACTGTGGATAAGGATAAAACAGATAGCTGTCCCATTACAGCATCATATCATTGTTATGTAACATGCAAGTATTAGAAAACAATTTAGAAGAGCCTGTATTAGGACACTGGCTAAAAGACTGTAACAGATGGTGACTCTAAAATGACAAAAGTTATTTCTCTGTCATGCAATATTCAGAGAGAAGGTGGCTCAGAGCAGGTAACTGGCTGTATTCCATAAAGTCACCCAGTGCTCAGGTTCTTTCCATCTTGCTCTGTCATTTTTCCCAGGTGTTATCCTTATTGAATTGCCAAAGCCAAGTCACTGCCACATCCATGTTTCAGCCTTCAGAAAAGAAAAAGAAACATATTGAATGTTTTAAGGCCAAGGCTCAGAAAACCGATTCTCTTGGCTTAAAGTTAATTTACATGTCTGGTCACACTAACTATACAGGGGAGGCTTAGAATGTAGTTTCTGAGAAACCATGTGTCCAGCTAACACCTAGCTAAGACTGGGGAAGAAAAGGAGAGTGGATTTAAGAAATAAGCAGCAGTCTGCCACAGGGTAACCAATGGCAAGGAAGATTGGGTTAGATGCACTAAACAGATGGTGGTCAATTCAGCCCAGCAAATCCTCATGATACCATTCATTTAGTTGGTTCTTGGCTTTAAGGGGATTCAGAAGTTACTTAGATAAACTCTTTGCACATCAAATACTTACAATCTAAGCAGACTGATATCCTTTTGGATGTTTAACATTAGAAAGTCTTCAGGGATGAGTCAATTTTTATATGCTCAGAGGACTATGAGGGAGCCTGGACAGAACAAGTATTTGCATAAAGGCATGGAGGTAGGGACCTCTCCTGTCATGAGAACAGTGAGGGACCCAGGACTCCTTGACTCATGGCACTACCTGCAGCAAGTGCTTAAATAGCACTTCCTAGAAGTGAAGAAGAAGACTATAATTGTTATTGGTTATTCATTGAGGGATGGTAACTAGACTTACTTTAGTAATCGGTTCACAATATGTACAAACGTCGAATCATTATGTTGTACACCTGAAGCAAATATAATGTTGTATTGTCAGTTATACCTCAGTAAAAAAAATTTTTTTTAAAGTCTGTGTTATCCAATGTGTTGATAAGTCAGTATTCTTCCTCCTTTTCCTCCTTAGTGTTCACTACACTCTTTTGGATAAAAACAAGTATCGGTTGGGCCTAAGCTTTGGATCAGAGAGATCTGAGTTTGCAATCCTGGCTTTGCCACTTGCTTAATAGTGATGGCCTTAGATAGACTATTTAGCATCTTTGAGCTTTACTTTCTCAACTCTAAGATGAGGGGCTCAAATTAAATGATGCCTACTCTCTCCTCAGCTAAAACTGTCTATGGTGCTCAGAAGGCACTATGTTGGGGGAGGGAGGGGCAAGGCAATTGGCAGGACTGAGCCTTTCCTCCTGAGCAGTTTTGCCAGGTATTTCTAGAGCCAGGCTGTTATGTTTACTCTGTATAAGTTACTCCATGAGGCAAAATTCAGGCTTTTGGAAAAGGCCCAGCTCATCTTGGGTCCCCTTCCATCTCCCTGTAGTGATTCCCCCTCCAGCCCTGTCCTTTGTCAGCCTGGGGTCCTCATTCTAACCTTTAGATATCCAGAGCTCTCCTTTACCAGGTTTTCCGCAGGCTGCAAAATTACTCTTCTCATCCACCTCTCTACTAAACTCATCTTTCCCTCAGTGCCAGGACCTCGATTAGCTGTAACAAGGAAAAGGACTAGTTACTGTAATTCACAATGACTGGATTTTGTATATTAACACTATCTATAATATCTTATTTTGTTTAAAAGGACCCTGTGAGTTCTCAAAATTGAATAACTAATGCTTAAGATTCTAAGCACTATAAATACTTGACAGAGGACGGGGAAGACAGTTTTGGGCTGAGAGACTATCCAACTGAAAAGAGGGAGACGATAGATAGATAGATAGATAGATAGATAGATAGATAGATAGATAGATAGAATATGATAGATGTGTCAAAATGATGCAAAGCATGGACTCTATAACCAGACAGCCTGATTGCATATCAGCTCTGCCACTTACTGTATAACTTTGGGGAAGTTTTCTAGGCCTCACTTTCTTTACCAATAAATGAGGGTCATAGCAGAGCCTTCCTCATTAGTGGCTGTGAGGAGTAAGTGATCTAATACATACAATGCCCCTAGGACAGTACCTAGCATGAAGTAAGCACCCAATGTAAGTTGGCCCTGTTGTTTATAAACCACTCAGAAGGCGAACTTGTTCGTTTACCTCTAAGCTACGACGTACTTGATTCTGGTGCTTTTCTTTCACCCAGGTGATACGGAATCCAACGTCCCTCCACCTTTGCTGCGTCACATTTTCATCCCTTCCTTTATCATTGTTTTAACAGTCATAGTTACAATGATAATCCTAAGAAAACAACTCAGCAAAAAGCTTTGTTCAACAAAAGGTAAGCGACTTTATTCATGGTAACCATATGGACTGGGTGTCTGTTTTGTCAGTCTCTGCTTTGCACCACAGGCCTACTGTGTCCCAGTTTCACACTAAATCCACTCAGTGCTTATGAATTACTTTGGGTTTGTTTTGATTATATCTTTTTTTCCTCAGAAGAAAATGGCTCTAGTCTTCAGTGAGCTAAAACCCTTACACTGCTTATTCTTAAATTGAATGTCTTGTTCCTATGGTGGAAATTGTTTGCTTCGTTCTTTGAGTTGAGAAGTGCCATCTGCCCTGCAAGACTGGTGTTATTCTGGCAATGTTAGACAGCTATGTGGTCAGAGTTCACTGGTGGGAGGATGCCAGGATGCTTTCTGATGATACCTACTGTCCTCACCTCTTCTTTCCTCATTCTGGGTATGAGCTGGGCTATGGCCTCTCCCTACCTCCAGGAATCGGACTCTCCTAGTTAGGTAAGAAAAGTGTGTGAGGCCATTTGGGGATGGGAAAGCACCTGTTTGGCGGTGCCCTGAGGTCTATCAGCAGCTGCCCACTCCTATTGCACCAACGGGGACAGAGCATGCCTGCAGCCTTTGGGTCCTGGCCCAAATATTGGCAGTCCTATCCGGTGCTTTCCTAAATTGTCCCTTTATCAGCACCCAATGAGCTCCTCCCAAGATTGACACATGGCTTTGTCTTTATTTATTTTTATTTATTTACTTATTTATTTTTAAATTATATTTTATTGATTATGCTATTACAGTTGTCCTGACTTTTTCCCCTTTGCTCACCCTCAACCCAGCACCCTCCACTCCCTCAAGGCAATCCCCACACCATTGTTCATGTCCATGGGTCATGCGAATAAGTTCTTTGGCTACTCCATTTCCTATACTGTATTTTACATCCCCATGCCTATTCTGTAACTACTTATTTGTACTTCTTAATCCCCTCATCTCTTCACCCATTCCTGCATACTCCCTTCCCATTTGACAACCATCAAAACATTCTCTATATGCATTATTCTGTCTCTATTCTTGTTTCCTTAGTTTGGTTTTTAGATCAGTTGTTGACAGGTATGTTTTTATTGCCATTTTGTTGTTCATAGTTATGATCTTCATTTTTTTCTTAAATAATTTCTTTTAACATTTCATATAATAATGGTTTAGTGATGACAAACTCCTTTAGTTTTTTCTTGTCTGGGAAGCTCTTTCTCTGCCCTTTGATTCTAAATGATAGCTTTGCTGGATAGAGCTATCTTGGTTATACGTCTTAGCTTTTCATGACTTTGAATATTTCTTGCCAGTGCCTTCTAGCCTAAAAAGTTTCTTTTGAGAGAAATCAGCTGATGGTCTTATGGGAACTCCCCTGTAAGTAACTAACTGCTTTTCTCTTGGTGCTTCTAAGATCCTCTCTTTATCTTTAACCTTTGGCATTCTAATTATGATGTGTCTTGGAGTGGGTCTCTTCACATCCATATTTTCTGGGACTCTCTGTGCTTTTGGACTTGCATGCCTATTTCCTTCATCAAATTAGGGGAGTTTTCTTACATTATTTTTTCAAATTTCTTTGAAAGAGTTCAAATTTCTTACTCTTTCTCTTTTCCTTCTGGTACCCCTACAACGCAAATGTTGGAGCTCTTCAATTTATCCCAGAGTCTGCTTACGCTGTCCTCATTTTTTTGGTCGGGGGATTCTTTATTCTTCTTGTCCTGATTGGTTGTTTTTTGCTTCCTTATGTTCCAAATCATTGAGTTTATTCTTAGCCTCATCCACTCTACTGTTGTTTCCCTGTAAATTGTTCTTTATTTCAATTCATGTATCCTTTGTTTCTGACTGGATCTATTTTATGCTGCTGAGGATACTAAGTTCCTTTAGCATCTTTATAACCAGTATTTTAAACTGTGCATCTGATAGATTGCTTATCTCCATTTTGTTTAGCTCTTTTTCTGGAGTTTTGATCTGTTCTTTCATTTGGGCCATGTGTTTTTGTCTCCTTACCTCGGCAGCCTCCTTGTGTTTTTTTTCTGTGTATTATTAGTTAGGGCTGCTAAGACTCCGTATCTTGGCAGTGTATCCTAAAGTAGTAGGTGTTCTTTAGGGTCCAGTGGCACAGCCTCCCCTATCACCCAAGCTGGGTACTTGAGATGTGCCCTTTGTGTGGGCTGAGTACACTCTCCTCTTGTAGTTGAGCCTTGATTGCTGTTGGCAGATCAATAGGAGGGATTTACCCAGGCCAGTCAGCTCCAAGGATTGATTGTGACCACTTACCACCAAACTTTGTCCTCCATGGAGGATCAGCTGTGCAGGGGTATGGCGGTGGTGCTCTGATGTGGTCTGTAGCTATCCACTGGGTACACAAGCCCTGGGGTTTCCCTGGTGGTGCACGACAAAGTCAGCCCCTGCCTATGTTTTGCCCAGGGTCTCCCTTCCTGAGCTATAAAGCAGTCTGAGATGGCTGCTGCTTATGCTGGGCTTATAGATCTCCCGGTGAAGCCAAGATGTGAATCTAGGCTGGCTGCTGCTAGAGCTGGGCCTGGGGCTCACTGAGGCCAACCGTTGTGTGTTTGAGAGGATTTAGGAAGTTGTAAATCATGAACCAACACCAGCCATTCATATGGAAAAACAGCTTGGCTGGAGTGGAATCTCTGGGGATCTCCAAGGCAGGTCAAACAGTGTTAGCCAGGTTGATGGAGTCTCATATATGGCACCAGCTTGCTGTGTCCATGGGGGCAGGATTTAAAAAAGGGACAATGGCCTCTGTTCACCTTGATGCCAGACACTTCAGTTTCTCCCAGTATACCACTGGTGCCTGTCAAGTTGCTACCTAGGTGCTGGAGCTCAGAGGGAGTGAATCTGTGTATTGAGTTCCTTCCACCAACTCAATCCCTACAGAGTTTTTGCAGCCAGAAGTTGTGGGGACTTATCTTCCTGGCACTGGAACCCTGGACTGAGAGGCCTGGGACTCTTCACTCCCAAGATATCCCCCCCGAATTTTTATCCACCACATGTGGGTGTGGGACCAGCCTGTTTCGTGTCTGCGCTCCTCCTACCAATGTGGATGGATGTGGTTTTTTTAATTCCGTAGTTGTCAGACTTCTTTTCAACTCAATTTCTGATGGTTCTGCCTGATGGTTGTTCTATATTTTAGTTGAAATTTTGATATGGTTGTGCGAAGAGGCCAGCCATGTCTGCCTATATCATCAACTTGACTGGAAGTTGGCTTTGTCTTTAAAAAAAGAAATGACCTCTGGGAATAACTCAGTAGGAATTTGAAGTGGTCACTGTTTCAGGATTAGGGGGTGTTTAGCTGGTTGTTTTTCTACTTTTATATTCTAACTTCTATATTCTCATCTGCCACAAAATATTGTCATACTCTACTTTTGCCCATTGCTCTATGTAGGTGGGCATTAGCTTGGGCAATAACCACAAATCTCCCCACTGTTGAACCCAAGGAACTATTGTCAAAAGAATGGGAAGGGAAGAAGAAGGGGAAAAAACAGAGAAGAAAGGAGGAAGATAGAGAGAGAGAAATTACAGAAGTGGAGGTCAAGGGCACTTCACTCTAAATGAGGAATCCCAAGGTCATGGACAGAACTTTGACTAAACAGAATCACTTCTGCAAATATATGACCTCAAAGAGTCATAGCAAATGCAGCTCATTAGACTCTTATCTTCTGACATTCTTCTCTTGTGCTAGACCCTTTTCAGTTAATTTCACAAAAACTGCTTGAAGCAAGGAATAGTGTCTACTTCGTAGATGAAGACACTGAAACTCAGAAAATATTTCTAAAGTTATATAGGTGGGGCTTGAACACAGGTCTGACTCCAAAATTTGTGCCCTTTTGCTGCAAAAGCATTTAATAAAAATTGGCTCAGTCTGAATACATTTTATATTATACATTACCTTTGGGCAATGAAAAGAGAGAGACTCAACCTAGAGTAACTGAGTGACTTGTTCACTGACTTGCTGGGCTGATGGCAAAGCCAAGAGTAGAATCCAGTACCAGTTACAAGATATTGAGACCAGATCTCTAGAACAAGTCTCTAGATCTCTATTCTTTCACCATTCTCTATGATGAAGAACCAGCTTTGGTTTTTCAAATTTCTAAAATGTTAGAATCAATATATTATAATATAGGGTGAGGAAAAAGTAGGTTTAGAGTTACTTGTATGGAAAATAACACAAAAATTTAATAAATAATAATACAAGAATTACCTCTGTGTTCCACATACAACTGTAAACCTGCTCTTGTCACACCTGGTATATACTGAAAACAAATTACTAAAAAATGAAATGAAAAGAACAAAGACAAAAAACAATAAGCCCAATTTTTACTGGATTTAATAAATATACTATGACATTTTAGTAAACATGACCAGAAAAAAATATAACATAGTAAAATAATTACTATGAAAACTTTTTAAATGTTCGTACTCTATCTATATGCTTAGCTCATTGAGGACTGATCAACTGTTCCTACCAACACTAGCCTGTAGATTACACTTTCAATGGCGCTGTCCTAAAAGATTGATCAAGGACTTTACAGAGATTTAAACCAAAGGCCAATATGGCAGTTTATGGTGCAAAAGAACTGCAGAGAATGGCAGCACTGACTGGAGGCATTAAAGAGGCCTTCGCTGAAACTCCAACGTTCCAGGGCAATACTTATACATTAATCTTTGGGCTCCTTTCTAATACAAACCTTCTTGGAGGAGACTGCAATGCTGAATTAGAGGCCCAACACGGTCGCAAGGAGAGTTACTAAAATCTGGTACACTGAACAAAAGCAGAATTAAGGATGGGTTGAATTTGGGAACCCAGGCAAGTGCAGAAGATGGACATTAAGCCCTGGATGAAAATAAAGGTGCGAGAGAACATGTGAAATCAGGGACTGAGAAAGCTAAAGAGGGAAACAGCGATGAGCAGCATCCCATTATGTGAAATTTTGTTTCTGCCCCCTGAGTCACTTTGGACTAGTATCAGTCATTTGCACTTTAGTGCAAATTAATTGAT